GAGGGAAAAACAATGAGAAATTAAACCTCCTAGTTTGCACCTTGAAAATATACTCAGATTTTTCTAGATGAAAAATGAGACTTGGCTGAAGTTAAGGCACTATCTTCCACTCCTGAGCCACAGGACTTAAAGAAAAGCTTTCCATATAACTCTCAACAGTGAGACTTACTGTGCCTCAGTTTCCCTGCTGTGAAAGAAGGAAAAAGACAGCAGCTTGTTTCCCCGGTGGGAAGGAACCATGCACAGCAATGGGAAGATGAGGAGAGGCACGTATGGAACAGATGTAGACAGAGAAAACCTAAAAGTTTCCAGCTTGGCCATCGCTCCTAAAGATGTTCAACCTTGGACACCAAGGACGCCAAAGCTTCTAGCAAGTGCCCAAGTACAGGCAGGAGGGCCACAAGGCTGTGCCGAGTCTCAAGGGCAGCCAGAGCTTGCAGGTCACTTGACTGAGCTGTAGCTACGCAGGGAGAGCTCTGCAGCTATATTGAAAGCCAGCACCTGCATCTGGCTGTCCCTCAGGCAGTCTTCAAGGTAAATTTTAATTAAAGGTGTGGATAACAGCAAGGAACACCACTGCTGAAAAATGCTCGTGACCTCTTAGTCAGAGTTATACGCTATTTCAGGATGAGTATGACATCATGCGATTTCAAAAGCATGGGCGGATCCTGCCTCTTGGCCTCATGAACAAAAAGGGGGTATATCACACCCGTCACCAAAATACACTCTCCCTCCTTTCCCCAAATACTGCCAACAAGTCACACAGGCAAGCCACATCTTTTTACACCCAGCCCCAAGTGGTGGTCAGATGCCGCACAGGAATAACATCCGTCTGTGACGGCACTGCAGCCCAAGCTGCCTCCATGTGCCCTCTGATGGTGCGGATACAACGTGCTGCTGAGCTTTGCTTCCTCCTGTGCAGAAGAAAACACCCACGACAAAACAAAAAAGAAAATACCGTGCTCCAGAGAAACTGTTGGGGGTAAAAACACAAGACAGTCTGAAAAAGGGCGCTTACAAAACTAACAGCTGCAATGTGGTTTTCTCTAAATATTCTGAATCATAAATGCAAATATTTTAAAATTTAGACCTGAATAGTTTGAGATATAAAGTTACTTCAAAATACATCACCTACGTTTGTTGGATTCTGCTTTGTCATGACAGGACTTTTGAGAAACGAGGATACAATCATTTGCTTTTCAGGTTGGCACCTCCACCTCAAACACGTCACCTTCACTTTGATGTGGGTGTTTTAAAGCAGCCACAGCCCTTCCGATGGCCCACGCACCGAGGCACGTGGCGGTCACTGTGCCACCACTCACTGACGGGGCTTCGTGCCCAACGTTTTCCAGTATCATTTTTACAGAGATGGGAGCGTGAAGCAGCCAGCCTGGAGGTTTTGCTCCCCAGGAGAGGTATCAGGCACAGGCAGGGTGAGACAAACCCACAGCTATCAAGCAGAAGGATCCACAGCCAGATGTAAGAAACAAGGAATATGAAATCCTGCAGCTGGGGTCATTTACAGCAGACTGGTTTCTGCTTAGGTGAGAGGAGTGGGCTGTGTTCTAGCTGGACCACTTGGTGATTCTAAATACTGCATATATTGAGATATGCATGGCAAAAGCTTCTAAAAGGCCCTAATTGTTGTGCAACAGAACCAAACTCAGATCTTAACAAAACAAAAGAATAGAAGAAAGAGCAATTACTGAAGTATTCATGTGGTACTGGCAACTAATTTTAGCCAGAAATCATGAGTTCTGGGTAGAAATGGGCAAAAAGAGTCAACCGAGTAACCACTGCAAGAGGAATGCTGTGGAATTCCCGCCACAAACCACAGTAGAGTAACGGCATGAAAGCCTTCTCCTAAAGGACTGTCTCCTATCTTCTAATTTCCATATCTTTGCATGAACAAAATACTTGTAACAGCCGCCACAAAAACAACCGGCAAAGCAAACACAAGACTTCTCCAGAATGACTGAGTGAGTGTGTGTGGGTGTGTGGGGGTGTGTGTGCGCGCGCGCGTGCGTGTGTCTATGTGTGTGTGTGTGTCTCTGTGTGTCTCTGTGTGTGTGTCTCTGTGTGTGTGTCTGTGTCTGTGTCTGTCCGTCCGTCCGTCCCCCAAAACGCACAGCATCCATCTCATGATTTACACTGTACCCTGTGTACGTTAAAAGCCGTCAACTGGAAGACACCAACAACTTGTACGCACTTGATCTGACCCAAGTAAAAGCTATCACGATTCCTAAGTGAGGAAAATACTTTGATGGATACTTTGCCCAACTGATCTGCTCATGGCGTACCCCCTCCCTGCCCAGAGAGGTGCTCCATGAAGAACCCAAACCTCCTCTGACAGAGGGCTTTGCTTCAGACAGAGCTGCTGAGCAGCGGGGCCGGCGTTTGCTGGCGCACGAGCTACCAGCCCCTTCTCGTCCCTTCGTGCCGTGTCACCCCAAGGATGTACTTACACACAAAGGGATTTTAAACTCTTTGGAAGACGAAGCGAACATTGTCAGTGTGAGATCACCCATGTAAGGTGAAAAAACGTAGATTTAAGTAAGCACTTCAAACAGAGGTGCTTTAATAGTAGAGAATATTGGGAATTTAACATTAGTAAAGTGTCCCCCGCCTTTATACTTCCTTTCTCCTCCCTCAGAATCAGCTTAGGACTAAGGCATATATATACATATATATATATATATATATTTATACACACACAAACATATACTCATATATGTATGAATATACACACACAAAATTTGAACTACCACCTACTGCTGCATGAGAAATGAGTAATTTTTGGTTTTTTCGTATGACTAGATTTCAAGAGTATTTCTGGCTCCAGTACACACAGTTTAAATGCAGTTGGGAAGCTGAAGAGGCAGCAAGAAACATGAGTGAGTCAGTGTAAAAGAACTACAAATTGCTTGGCTCTTCATCTGCAGTTGAAGTACAAGTGCCCCATAAAAGGATCCTTTCAATTTCCTTTTGCATGCACTTCTATGGGAGGGGAGGAAAAAAAACCAAATCAGTATTTGCTTGGAACTTCAGAAATGGATTCAAATGCAATTACAGCTCCTATTCCTAAAGGATACAAAATTTATGAAGTTATTCTTGAACTCATCTCTTCAGATATTAAACTGCTTTATGAGGAACAAAACAGACTAGAATAGTAAATTAAATGTTCAGTGACAAACATGAAAAAGACAGAAATAAAAGGGATATCTGTCTTACAAACAAAACTATTCTACATACACCCCTGTGAGCTCTTTTATTTAAAATATTTTAGGAATCTTTGATCAGATATATGAAAGAAAAGTTTTATAGCTATGTATTTTATATATAGGGATATATAATAAATATAAGATATATAGATAAGACAGGTAATAGGTATATAAGATAGATCTATGTATGTATCTTGTGTGTGTGTGTGTGTATATATATATATGAGATGAAAAAAAGAAAATTTATCTCCATTAGAACAAGATCTGTACTCATGTCTTATTCTAAGAGAACATATTCCAATCAAAATCTAAACAAAACACACAGAAGTGACACAGCAACAGTTCAAAGGCTGGTTTACAAATCCCACTGAAAGGTTTATAAATTGTGACACTTTGACAACTGTTGGAAGTACAAGTCAGAAAAAAGCCTGAAGGTGGAAGATGCGATGTTGCTTGACACAGGTTTCTTGTATCAAACAGCCCTGACCATTCAGTCCCACTTATGACAGAAAACTGGAAATTGCAACGGGGAAATATTTATTTTAATTAAACTTATTCCATTATTCCCAAAGCACTCTTCCCTGCAATGCTTACTAATGCTTTGTCAGGAAAGATTTAGATGCCCACCGTGACATGGTTTCTAATTTTTCATTGTCTTAATGCCATCTCTTTGCACCAAAGTACAACAATTCAGTCTCTGTCCTTCATTTCTACACTGTTCCTGAACTTGTTTCCATCTGGATTATTAAAAAAACCAAATTTAACGCAATTCAGAACTATTAACTTTCCACGTTATTCACTTCATTCGGTTCCCACTTATTTTCAGGGTTCTCCTTGAAACCACTTGTAATCTGCCCCAAGTTTTTGATTTTGTCTATTATTTGTAAAAGATGCAGTATCATCACCCGAGAAGTAGAAACACTGCATTAGCACAGTATGAAGTGATATGGAAGTCTAGGGAGCACAAACAGAATATGAATGTCGATCTTAGTTTTATGAAGAAAGCCATCTTATAGAGTTGTTTGAGTTCAGTTGCAAGGACACAACATTGTACTCTGTTCTCACAACTGCTGTCTAACGGGCTCAAGAGAGTGGTATGAGAAGGTTTTGACAGCACCAGACCACTCAGTCACAACACAGTCATAACCAATATTTGGCTCAAAATCAGCCTACATGCACAGGGGATATTGAAGGGTAAAGACAAGCATGGTATTTTCCCGTCCACTGCTGTCTTGCAAAGGAAACCTCCATACTTCAACTTAACAGTAGTGTATCAATGAATCTGTCAAAGGCTAGATATTAAAACGTATTTTCTTTTAGATCCTATTTAGAAAGTAACTGTCAGCAGAAAAATATTCTTAAGGTAATAATGGCCCACAGCTAATGCCTATTATGAATTAAGACACTTCAAAACCTCCAACAGTTATGTTGGCTATGTATCTGCTGCAGTACCCCGGATTGCACATGAAGCATCCTAAGAGTACAGTATTTATCATTTAGTTGTCAAGAAGTATGTGTTTAAGCGTTTTTGTTATAAATATAGCAATACTTCTCATTGAAGAATAGATGAAAGCGTCAAAAGCACAGTAACTATTAACAATAAGCTTTTCTGTAGGAAGTTAAAAATAAATGGGTCGAACACTGATGTTTTCAACCACTGTAGTTGGAAATTCACTTAAAAGGAGCAGTGACTCTTCCACACTGAGGTCTTTTAGACAGATTTTTGGCATCTTTAATAAGATGCTAATAACAAGTTGAAGGGTAGGAAGTCACTCTTACCTTCCATCTGCGTAGTCTGCATCTGCGCCTCCCCACCAGACATCTGAATCATCATCTTCGGCATCAGCTGAATCAAGATTGTCGCTTTCCTCCGCTAACGGGCAGCAAACAAACTCCACACCACGAAACTTGTCGATTCCACAGGGCAGCAGCATGCCATAGTCATGCAGATTCATACTCTTCTCACTACAGGACTACAGAAAATAGACAGAAAACAGCAACAATATTGTCATGGAGGAAGCCAGAAAAAACATCACAGACCTCGAGAAAATGTAAGGGGCTGTGTACCGCCTTGGGAGGTTGAAGCTGGTGAACTGCAGGGTCTCTGAATTTTGAAACACGATTTAGAGTGGTCATGTGTGCATTCACTACCTGCACCGTAGGTACCTCCCTACCTGTGTCCGCACGACCACTGCAAGCAACAAGCTCTCCCTTCCCCTGCCCTTTAGTCTTTGCCAGTATAGAAAGACTTGTCTCCTCCCATATACTTGACAACCCCATATCCTCTCGCCTAAAATCCTCACAGGCTCTGCCTCATAAACAGAAAACTCGAAGGCAGAACAATAATTTGATGTATTAATCCTGATCCTAATGTATTAATGCTATTAAAGAGTTCATTGCAAGATACATTAACATTGAAAATATCTGATATACTGGAAACACACTGTATTTGGTCTGATGCCTCTGCCAGCACAGCACCTTCTAGCCTTGTTTGGAAAACAGTCAGTCGTGCATAATTATACCTTGAAGATATAGTGATGTAGGACAGAAAGATATAGTGATGTAGGACAGGTGAAAAAAGGAAAATACTTCAGTGGTGCACAGTGATGATACTCTCCTAGGCTATGCCATTCCCAGTCTGCAATACTCAAAATGGACTAGAATTTGCCTGCATGCTTTAAACGCTTCATTTGAGGGGCAACAGTATGATTCAAGCAAGAACTGAAAATTTGAAAAGCTGCTAAGCACATTTCAATTTTGATCTCCAGAAGCTGGGATAACATACAAACTAAGAGGTTCCAAACAAAATAGCAGCCAGAAATCTTCTTGAAGCTCATCTCAGTTTTCATTCCTACAACCTTTCTACATAAGGACAAAAATGTCCAAAACTCATTAGCAATTATAACATGAGGTTTATTTCTGTTTTCAGTAAAGCACTGGTAAACTGTAAAAACTCTGTGCTTGACTGCAAAACATCTTTGGCTAGTCCTATGCCTTATCAGCTCTCCTACCCTTTTATGCTGAATTTCACATACTGCATTCTTTGAGGTCTGTTTGATCTCTGTGAAGCACCTGGCATACCAATGTCCATATTGAGGACAATGATAAAGGCAAAGCCTAGGCATTACTGATCAATTTTTAGCTCCAGAGCAGCACTAACACAGGAAACCAGCGGAGGCAGAAAACATGGCGGGTGTGTGAGTGGATGTGGGGAAAAAAATACAGTGCTATGAAACAGGGTCAATGTTCACAGGTCAACATTAAGTACCCAATAGCGGACTCTGATGCTCTCAGTGGAGTGACTCCTATTTCCCACCTTATAAAGCAGAACAAAAAGCCATTCACTCAAACATTCCTAAGTACCGCTTTTTGTTTGCTGTGTCACTGCTATATTTAAACTCATCCTCAGAAGAGTGACATAGCTCTGAAGAAGGAAGGCAGGAAATTTTAAGACAGATGAATATACCTCTTTAGCAACAGTATGCCAGTGCAGGTGAGTTTCACACACATCCATCCTTTCCTGGTGAAGGAACTTGCACTTGTCTGGTACCAGAAGAGCATCACTCACAAACTCACCCACTGAAAGAGAGAGAAAAAAAAAATTAATTTTGCTTCCAGTATCTCATCCTTTTAAACCTTTAGGTAGGCATAGGGCAGCTCTCATGAATGAGTGGCAGGGTCTGTTTGCAGAGAATGGAACAGTTTCTAAAGGGTGCTTCCATTATTACCTTCTTCAAACTTTCCATTTGAAAGTAGCTCCTGTCTTTGACCTCAGAAATGTATTAGATTATGAAAACTTTAATATGCTAACTTCCATATACCCAGTGTGAAACTTGCAGGACCCATAGAAGAGGTGTGTGGTGCAACATGAAGTCAGGAGTTGGAGGATCCAGCTCCTGGAAGGGGAGCGTGGGGATGGGGAAGGACAATTACACTTTGCATCTGAATAGTGGTAGGGAGCGGGTTTGAAGTGTTTTGAAATACTTAGGTTTTCCACACAAAACAAATCTGACACCAACGCATTGTTTCAAACAATTCAGGAGTATTTCTACTGAATTACAGCGCTAACAGCAACACAGTCCACTTAGTTATTTTTGTTGATGCAGCCTCTTTATTGCAACCTCATTTCATCAGCCAGACAAATTCAGGTTAGCCCAGAAGGCTGATGAGCAAGTGGAGCTGATCAGCCAGGGACCAAGATGATTCATGGATCACCTGAGTATCTGCTCAGATTGAAGTGGGGAAAAAAAAGGCTCTCTACCAAGGACACAAAACTGACCAAAGAGATTGTGCTGTCTTCAGCACTAAGACAAAAATTTACACACTGATGAAATAAAATGCTCACAGCTTCAGTACAAACGAATGAGAAGAAACTCAGCTGATAAGTAACACAATTTCTTAGACTAAAATGACTGTAATTCTGTACAATTCCGACACTGCAATTAAATAACCCCAAACCCCCTCAAAGACATTTTTTAAAAGGAAAAATTACAGAGTACTTTCGAGAAGTCAATACACTGAACAGACACTGGATTGTGAAAGCACACGACTCAGCTGGCATAAATCATCAGCTCACTGAAGCACATTTGCCTGTAACCTCCAAAAAACTACAGCTTGTGTGTGTTAAATGAACGAACCAAGGTGGCCCAATGGCTGCATGGATGTAATAACAGGTTAATTAATCAAAATGAGATGACTACAAGTTTACTGTTCAGTAGAGGGTCATCTCAGGGAGCTGATGAAGTGGCCCTTGAGGCTTACAATTAAAAAGTCAGTTTTAAAAATAATCAACACCCAATGCATTGGGAGAAAACAGAATTCAGCAAATAGAGGTATATACCTTTGCTAACCAACAAGACGTGTATTTCACATGAAATTCCTTGCTATACTTCAGTGCTTTTGATCTGAAGCCTTTAAAAGCCAGTCAGTTAGTTTACTAGGAAAAAAAGGATTTTGTTATGTTTATCCTTCAGTGACATACTCTAATGCCTGCAAATTATTAACAGAAATGCCTCCTAGAGGTGTCCAAAATAAACTTGCAAAAGTAATGAGTTAAAACACTTTTTAGTAAGCCAAAATACAAAATCTGCAGCTTCTGTTAACAAAGTGTCTGCTGCCAGTGGTATCACACCCAAACCGTGCACTGAAATTTGAATAAATTTGCACCTTGTTTTTAGCTGTACTTGCCCTTGTAGGGGACCATCCTGCCACATACCCAAAGTCACTCAGTACATAAGTAATTGCTCATGCTTCAATTTAGCCAAGTACCTGAGCACTAAGCAAGCACATGGGTGTTCTGCTGAAGACTCACAAAGTATGTCGACTTCGCTCTCCTAGGACATACGACTTCATGCAGAACTGCAGTTATACTTTGCTGGCTGCTTGAGCATGCAAAACATTCAGAGCAGTCTTTATGGTAAATGCTTCTATAAAACCGGGAAAAAAAAATCCTGGAGTGCATTTTACTCCAGTGAACTAGATCAATTCACAAGCTATGCACACAATCATGCTTGCCCTATTTGTTTAAATGGCGGATATGATATCAGGGCAAAGTAATTCAAAATAAAAATACTGTACCCTGTGTGAGACACAGTCCTCACCAGCAGATTTTCCATCCACTGCATAAAACAGATGGGATGTGAGGATCCATCCAACATTGCACAGAAAGAGAGCAAAGATAAGATGACAAAGGTACTAAAACAAAATCCATGACAAAACCAAACACCTGCTAGCAGATGGTTGCAGATGGTTAGGATCCTGACCAAAAAATAAGCATGTTCAAATTATGTTCAGAGGAGTACCTTCAAGCAAAGCCTGTGCTAAATTTTGCATGAGGAGGCAGCACACGTACTGAGGCTCTAGAACTCATGGCTTCATTTTCCATGTCACCGATGAGAACAAGGCCTTGCTAAAAGGAATTTACAAGCTGAAGTGCTTGCGCCATACGTACTTGAGAACATTCAGAGAAACGTGTCTCTTCTCCGTGACTTCGCATAGATTATCCTGAGCCACCGTGCCCTCAGCACAGCGCAGCAAGGAGCAGAGAAACGCTGCACCCTTCCCCGTCCCGCTGCCACGGGGCTTTGCCCTGCCCTGCTCCCCGGGCACAACAGCTCAGCTACCCGCAGCACCTCTGCTAGCTCTTGTGCCTACCCAGGCACATTTATTTATTTCATATTCCATTAAACATACATTATTACATTTATTTAAGCAGCCATGTAACTTTAGTGCTTTTATTAAGAATGATATTTATATGTCTTCATGCATGATGCTTTCTCTTATTTATAGGTTGCTCATTAAAGGTTACCTGCAATCTGCATGAGTGCAAGCCAAACACAGTGGCATCAATTGATGTGCAGAGAAACAACGCTGTATTGAAAATGCTTTTCCTTTTCTTCGTAAGTCCAGAAAAGCAGAGAAGATGCAAAGCAGCTATATACTTCAAAAATACATTTCATTTTTCAGCAAAATGAGTTAGTAAGAGCGATTATCTAGCAACACACTGAACCAGTCACAAAGTGCTTCAAGATTTTAGACTCAGTATCTACAGATGAAGAGGGCGAGGCTGTGCTTGTCAAACCTGGTCTGAAGGAGGGTTTGGTGCCGTGCCCAGGCCCTGGGGAGGGATTCCTGCCCCAGCCCACAGCGTGGCTCTCCTCTGAACTCGGGCTCAAGTCATGTTCAGCCGGATTGTTAAATATCTTCAGTCTACTTTAAAGGATTTTAACAACCTATAGCAAACAAGCGCTTTGTCGATTTTTCCAATTTCAAATTTCAATTTAAATGGAAGTTAAAAAGAAGCAATGTTTAGGAAGTATGTAAAAGGCTATGTAAAATATAATTTCTACCTACACCGTTACCTATGAAGGACCACCATTATTAATACCAGTAGTCAGCTGGATATCAAATATCACCCTACTGTATCTCCTCCATCGGTAAGTTGTAAGCACTGAGAGCATCATCGAACAACGCTGAACCCCCCAGGCAATCGCTAGCGAAGTGCAGGCTGCGATGGAGCTTGCACGCAAGGACTGCAGCGGGAAAGGGGAGATCCTGGCACTGCACCGAAATCCCACCAGCCTTAAACCCTCGGAACTACCTCCCCTCAACCCCATCCCAAACACCTAAGTTAGAGGCCTCTCCCTAAAACACATTCATCAGCTGACAGAAAGGGAAGGCGGTGCTGATAAAACACGCCTGTGTCCCAGCGGCTTGGACCATCTGTATTTTTCTGATGAGTAACAGGGCCTAACTCCTGCCCATAAAACTGCCCCAAAACCAGCTCTGTAAGAAACCTGTCCCCATTCCACCATTTTATCTGTAACTTACGGCACAAATTTCAGTAAGAGACCCACGGCACAGCAGATGGATAGCAATGCAGACCCAAATCTGAAGGGCAGGAGCAGAAGTGACAGCACGACCTGCGCAGCCAGCCCTGGGGCGTGAGGCAGGAACAGCTGCAGCTCCTCAGTCTTCCAGAGGCTTGGCCAAAACCAACACTGACCCCATTAACATGTCTCCGTATCGACCCTTTCCTCCTCACATATTTCCAAGAAGTTATTTCCCATAACTACAGCTGGGGTTTTTTATTATTTTTTGAGCAAAGACATCCACTGTGGTTTAAGCATCTAAAAGTAAGGCAAGCGGTTCACCAACAGACATTTTCACAGCATCAAAGCAAGTGCCTGTTCCTTTAGTATTTTTTCTGCTTCAACAAAGTCCTTGAATGCTTCTATATTCCTGCTTTCAACCAAACTTGAAAAGGTAAAGACAGTACACCCACTAAAAAGTGTTTTATTGTTCTGTTACTTTGCATACTGAGCAACAAATACACCCTGACGCAACAACTCTCAAGTAAACCACCTTCACTACTCACAATGTTATCCGTTTACTAGGCTACAAAAGGCAACAATTTGGAATGAGCAAAGCTTTTCTATTAGATTAAAAACTGACTGGTAATCCTAGCTGTACTACGCTTCAGCGTCTTGATGCTCTTATAACAATTTTGAAAAATCACGACAATTAAGGTACTTTTCACAAGCACTGCAATGGCACACAACATATGACCATACTTGGGACACCAGATCAAGGTAGAAGAAAACCCACTGTAATGAACTCACTGACATCTAAATATCCACACACGCATCGTAATAAGGAGTTCCAGTCTTGATATATCGTGTGTTCTACTGTGATTTTGGAAAGTCCAAATACCTAACACGAAATTCTGGAGTCAAAGGGCTAAAATCCTTTAGGTAAAATCCATCCAAGTGCATTTGTCCAGATGAAAATAATGAACTATATATCACGAAATATGCCTATAAGTAATTCATGGTGTTTATTATGTCTTCATTTTCATAAGGTACCATACATTAAAAAGGGTTATTCTCAAACCTTCTTCCTCCTTCCTCTGTAGCTCTTTGATCATAGACGTAAATGGAGTTTCTGCTCACTTTGCTGCTTTTTTGCCTGACTGCGTTTTCTGATAAAATTGTCTTACTTTCCAGACAGAATGCAAGCATCATTCAGATTTGATGCATTATGCCAATAACAGATACATCTGTTTACATGCAAGAAGATTC